TCTGCCGAAATATTCTAACAGAAACAGAAAAAAACACTGACCTCGCAGAAGAACTTCGGCTTCAATCACTGAATCGATTGGTGGTGGTTCAATTGCTTTGGCGAGGAAATCACCAATCGAACCCAGCCCGATTAGCTTGATTGTTAGCGCAATTTCATGCAACGGAGTCCGCAGCATTTCCGCCGTACGATGTTCTTCCAGCCTGCAAAAATGTTTTGATAAAAATTCCACTAAGACATAAGCAAGTGCTAAAAACAGTGGTCGAGCCCTTTTGGATGACACCGAGGCATAGCTACAAGTCAAGTACCACTACTAAGCCCTCTTCCTGGACTATTCCCACAGCCTATGTCAACCAAAATCAAAGTTAAATACTTATGTTTTCCACAATCACAGTACTGAAAAGTAACCATCAATCGATCCAGTAACTGAAGCTGAAGCAAATTTCCTAGTTATGTGTGCGTGTGTGCTTGTCTGCCTGTGTCTGCGTGTGTGTTCAATGTATGTTTGTTCACGTATGTGTTCGTGTGCACGTGTGTCTATGCGTGTGTGTGTGCGTGTGTGTGTGTGTGTGCCTATGTTTGCTTGTATTTATGTGTGTGTGTGTTTGCGTGTGTTCGCATGCGTGTATGTGTGTCCGTGTGTGCGCTTATGCATGTGCCTGTGGTTTGTGCATTCGTATATGTGTGTCCATACATGTGTGCGTATACTTGTGTGTGTGTGTGTGTGTGTGTGTACATGCGCATCTATGTGTGTGCGTATTTGTGTATGTACACACAAATGAAAGACACACAGACGCACGTGCAAATGTGTACACACACACACAGACACACATACATACACACTCACACACGAACAACGCAACGTACATTTCGAAGAATACACATACGCCTTATCTACGTGAGGTCTATCCATATCAAGAAAAGAGAAAAATGTTAACAGTCACAAAAAACCGTTCCAACTTTCAGAGTAAAGCATTCAATGGTCTAATTTCCTTCTGGAGTAAAATGTATGTTAGAAGTGGAACTAACGCATTATATCGAGCTTTTGAGCACAGATGGAAGCAGAATCCTTCGCGAACACGCCCCGCACGACCACGACGTTGTGCTATGTTTGTACGTGATGCCCAAACTGTCGCGTAATGAACCATATTGTTGTGCGATGTGTACATTTTTTCTTTTGCTCTGCAAAAAACATATTTTTTTAAAACAAATAGTCCCAAAACGCTCATATTTCTTCTTTTCCCTTCGCCCACTCCTTTCACATATCCAAGAAGCATGTCTTGTCCTGCACGTTAGTTAGCATTTTAATCCCAACTGCTTAAAAAAGTTAAATTCTGCGTTTTTCAATCTAAAGAAAAAAGGTCAAATTAAGCTAAATTATTTA